TTTTCAAAAACCTTTTTTCCCCCCCCCCCCCCCCCCTCCTTGTTTTTTATTTCTGTATTCCTACTATGGTTGTTTCTTGAGAAATAAGAATGCAATTTTTTTTCATTTCAACATTTGGGACATTTACCTCATTCTTATTGACTTGAATTTTTGGATTGAGATTTGAGAGTTTGTCCATATAGAGATATTAATATAAACTAATCAATCAATACAAATACTCCATTTTTAGATTTTAATCGAGCAGGACATGATTATCATTTATCAAATAAACGTTTTTTGATATATATAGACCCCCAATGCAAGCATACAATTCTTGACTAACAACAATATTTGTGGTACTCACTTTCCTAGTCCTTTAACTGATGTTTTGTGAGAGAAGATTATTAGTATGATACAAGAAGGAGAGTCGCCAACTAGTAAGTCCACCATCGATCTACCTCGATGCCATCGCCAAACAGCTATCTCAAGGGAGAAGATTGCCCCAGAGGCCGCTTCCTGTCTTTTGGAGAACGGGAGCTTGATGCAAATAAGATGATAGAGAATATCTATCTAAATATGATGAATATCATTTTGACAGGCACATTCCTTATTGGTAAACCACATCCCTCAATTAACATATGTTGGTCGTATACCTCCTAAACAACTTCCAACACTACACGGGAGGATTTAAACAATACGTAATAAACACGAAACTTCACAGTTATTTTAAGGATTCATTTGGCAGTGTTTTTTCCTTCTTGTAGAAGAAATGCTAGCTTTCTTTGAAAACTCTCAAGTCCATGTGTCCAGCATAATACTTCTAAAAAATTACCTAATTTAAGCAAGTTCAAAAATAGTTTCTTAATCTTAAAAATAAATTTTATCTTGTAGATTCACTTGTAAATAAAATAAATACGTCTTTTGTAAATGCAAAAAATTCAACAAACACAAATTTGTTGTTCTCCACTCCATGTTTCATTGGCTGACAAATCAACCATTATTTAAAGATCCAGCAGGATCAAATTTTTTGCAATTACATAATAATAATAATAATAATAATAATTTGTTTCTCCTGTAATACAAACGTAAGTTCCACCGTGCAGTAGGCAACATGCAGTGAACCCCTTAGACAAACACGATATAAATATAATGAGTCGTTTGTTTCACGCATGACCCAATGATATTCAGATCTCGATGCACGGGCTCTTAGCTTTCTGTTAGGACAAGTACGCTTTTGCAGAAAAAGCTTGACAGCACAAAGAACGATTCTACCTTCTGTTTGAAGTAATTGTACTTTTACACTTTGTGATGTGTATTAAAAAAAAATAATGTTATTTATAATCGTTCACTATTACAGTCACCCTACGTGGTATACATGTGACGATTAATAATTTGTTGCATAAATTAATAAAAAACTATCACGCCAATGTATCAAATTATTAACCGCCACATGTATGTCACATAGAACGACTACGATAATGAGCGACTACAAATAACATTACTCATTCAAAAAACATTTTGAATCAATTCCATTAGATTGACTATACCCGAAAATCTATCTCGAAAGAACTTATTCATGTGCAATGCTACTAGCCTAAATTCATTTTTTCAAAGTTATTAGATAGAAGTCGAAGGGAATCCACGCTAGTAGCATTGCACATGAATAAGTTCTTTCGAGATAGATTTTCGGGTATAGTCAATCTAATGGAATTGATTCAAAATGTTTTTTGAATGAGTAATGTTATTTGTAGTCGCTCATTATCGTAGTCGTTCTATGTGACATACATGTGGCGGTTAATAATTTGATACATTGGCGTGATAGTTTTTTATTAATTTATGCAACAAATTATTAATCGTCACATGTATACCACGTAGGGTGACTGTAATAGTGAACGATTATAAATAACATTATTTTTTTTTAATACATATATATATATATATATATATATATATATATATATAAGGAGCATATTTTACATTATAAAAATTTTTGTTAATCACACCAAGGACATTCTCTACAGAAATCGTAGCTCGTTTTATCAAAATTATATATTAATAAGGTCAAAATTAACTCCAAACTCAACCTTGGACTCCATGAGCTTAGAAGTTCTGTCTCGCCTCCTAATAAAAATTTGACTGACCTCGAGGATTCTCCACCCTAAGGTCAGCATCATGACTCCCTCACAGAATCTACTATCTCGAACTCTGGTTTAGGACTCAGTGCCTAGAATAGCACCTCGCTATAGACCATATTTTTCCGTTATTGTCCACATTTAAGAATCACTAGTCAACCATGATCCCCCTCAAGAGCAATGACCTTGAGGCCACCCCACAAGTCTCATAAGAACTCCGTAGGCCCTATCTATCTAGCTCAAGGCACCTCATTATCAACCTACGGATCAAAGCATGACCTAAACACACAATAATTATATGACGTGTAACATCATAATCCTATTTGGACTCTGCAATCTAAGTGCTTATTTGATATTACTTTTAAGTGTTTATCAACTGTGGATCATACAAAGGTCATTTTGATTTTGATTTTTATTTTAAAAAGTATTTTAACCAACTTAAATTATTATTTTAGCTTTGCCAAATGTTCTCTGAATCGTACTCCTCTTCAACAATGGAAGAACGTACATATCACAGCTGTAACATAAAATTGTTCCAAGACAACTAGGTTAAGTGCTAATCCTTGAAGACATGCACTGTCGATGGATGTCCTAATCCTCTTAGGATTACACCAAGAACTATTATAAATACATATTACATATTCATTACTAAGGTATGCCTTATTCATTTATTGTTTATTGATCTACAGATTCTACACGTTCTCTATGTACCCTTCCTTAGGCATCGACAAAGTCACGCACTGGCGGAGGCAAGGGGGGGCTTGTGGAGGCCGCCCCCAATGCTAATTTTATGATGTTTCTTTTCGATTTTTGCAAATTTATATAAATAATTTACTTAGAGACTCAATGTAACACCTCAAGACTGTCATATTTTATATTTTACTATATGAGCAAAATGAGTCAAATTAATATCAAATAGAATTTAATTTAAAATGAAAACGAAAACATAATCACATTATTATTGTTATTTTGAAGTTGTCATTTAACAAATTTTAAATATGAAAGATGTCTCGTCTAGTTTGTCATAATTGAAACAATACCAAGGACCTAGCCAGATAGGAGAAGAACATAACTTGAAAGAATTTTACTATTTGTACACACGTCGGTGTACATGCCTCTCACATGAGGGAGGGGCCCACACCCAATAAAAAAAGCATGGGCCCCCTTGTGTGAGGGGCATTTACACCGGTGTGTGTACATATAGCACAATTGAACTTGAAAATTAGCTGAAACAGGCAATGCAAAATAGGAATGACAGTTATATTCACAATGTAATTTTTGTTAATAACACATTTTAAACGCAACGGAGGTCCTCAACTTTTGCTCGGCTCTGCGCTTATGTTACCAACTTTTTTCATCATATTTCTATCTTCAACCAAGCAATTAGCACAATCCCAATGGCAAAAAAAAAATGTTATAGGGGAAGAAAAAAATTATTTGTTCCTCGTAATTTTAAATAAGTAATATAAACAATAAATAAAAAAATTCAATAAAATGTTTTCCAACACTAGCAATATGTTTTAGACAAAAAAAATCGTCATCAGGAACAATATGCACTAATTAATTGAAGGTTAAAGAGGACATAAGAGCAAAAATTAAATTATAAAAAATAAAAATTGAGGATTCTAATTACAATTAAAATGTGTTCTAGTTAAAAAACAGAGTTATTAAACTCATTTCTAATTGCCATCTTAGGCTCCCCATTTTGAACTTCAACTCCTGGCCAGACCACAATGAAAAATTCTTGGTTCCATAATTTGTCACACTCCGTTGCCTTTGTTTTACATACAAGGAAGTTCTGCTTTTGGTCACTCTCGATCTTATTCCCGTGATCGAGTTAATTTGTGTAACCTATAGTACGATTTCTGATAGCATACATAATCATCAGTTCTAAAACTCAAGATGCAAGAAACCTTTAGTTCTTGGTTAAAAAATTCTGAAATAGTTTCAATCATTTTGATCTTGTTCATTTGGTTCTGATAATTTTAACCAATCTAAGATAGCTCTTCTCTCATCTCCTGTAATTAAACACAATGATAATTACAATTAAGCACGTATGATATACCTCTAGTGAAGGAAATATATGAGAAAACAGAAAACAAGAGTTTCACATAAAATGATAACAAACACAATGCTGCATTACAATACATAAGATCCATACAACAGCAAGAAAAAAAAGTTGAAAGTAGAACAAAAATCTCCCTCTGACTCGTCATTCTTTACATCTAAGCTTAGAGAATCAAACAACATGCATATTGAAATCTCTGCTAAATAAAATCCCCAAATAATTAACCGATAGGACGACTTAAGACAGCTAGAACGGTCAAAAGCAGTAAGTCACTTGCAAGCCCAGGAACAATTAGACAAATCGACGAATGTATCCCAGCCAAGCAACGAAGAAGCGCTGGACTTATAGACTAGGAAACCATGGGAAAGATAGTCTTGGATTGAAGTGGATCCCTCTAACACAATGAAACTATGAAATGAGAGAGAATTGACTTATGATCGTGTAAAAAATATCCATTAATGATCATCAGAATTGTCGGTATTAGCTTCGTCATCTTCACTATCATCTTCGTCAGACGAGAGAGGCACCAGCCAGCAAGCCCCGTGCATGTGCCCGTTCAAGCAAACAAAATAATCCAGCCCATTATCGAACGACCCCAGCCGCCGTGCAGCGTTCTTCCTGGGAATCAGGCGCGCCGCCGTCATGCTCCAAACTCGGGCTCCACAATAAGGACACCTTATTGTCTCTTCAAATTGTACATGTCGCTTTATCAAATACTCGCGTGTCTTCGACCTCGTAAATCCCCGAAACACGCCTCTGTATATCCCGACATCATATTCCTTGTCCCCCGCTTTATGCTCGCACGGATCGCTCACGTATAAAACATCCTCTCTGCACTTTTTCAACAGAAAACTCTGGCCGGAAGTCTTGGAAAACCGGGAAGTATTGATGAAATGACCCGGCAGGGGTGGGTTCAGTTTAAAATGCGCGGTCGACATCCACCCGCCACAGAAAAACAGCAGTTTACCCAGTGTTTGCCAACCGCCGCCAATCTTCCCCGTCCCGTCCGTCAATGTGGCTATCATACGCGGCGCTTTGTAGAGACAAAGCTCCCTCCAGAGCAGGCGGTTCGCCAGAGCTCGGAGCTTCCGGTTAACGGCGGCTGTTTGGCAGAGGGCATGGATGTCCCATTTCAATGACTTGAAGATTAGTATGAGGATTTGCTCGTTCTGAATCCCCGAGTCCACTGACTCAATGTCTATTCTTAATCTCTGACTCGAACTCGAACTGGAACTGGAGCTCCAACTCATCTTTGACACTTATTAAACCACGAAATGGATTTAGGATACGAAAAACTCTCCAGCAGAGATACTCAAGGTTGTCAGATGCCAATGTGGGAGATATGTATGTCTCCGATCGGGGAATTATCGATGAACATTGGATTAACAGCATAATAATCAACTGTATTTGACACAACGATTTGAGACATAGGGCTACGTGTTTATTTACTATTGGCTATCCAACGCGTGTTTAGCAATAATTGGTTAATTTTAGTATTGCCGAATCAATAAAAACGTAAGAGAATTAAGTTAGTATGCCAGATGAAATTTGATACTCCAGTTGACCAACACTCACATTGGTATGGGACCCGCACCAACCTCATGAGAATAAAAAATGTAAAAAATGGCATCCCACCCACTCTGACTGTGAGTGTAGGTCAATCAAGGTGGTAAAATTTATCTGGCATTCCAGCATGATTGAAACAGAAGATTTTAGATCGGGGAAAAGAACAGGTGCCACGTGTTGACCTAACATATTTGCATCGTGGCTCGAATTATCTAATTGGTATACGTGGCAGAGATCGGATAAAGGAAATATCTAATTGGCATACGCGGCAGAGTCGGGGAAAAGGAAATATTTGGGAGATTTTATAATAGAACTAGTAATTTACCTACAATTGGTAGGTATGCACGTGGGAATTGTCTTGCCACGTATAAAGTTATTACCACTGTAGGATTTTCGATTTGGATGTAATTCTAAGTGTCGTCCTATGGGTAGTGCCACGCAAACTTGTACCAAAAACGAATTAAAGAATTACAAATGTTTCGAAAAATGAAGAATTCTTCGAAAATGTGTTGTGCCCTTGTTAACTTGGATTGGTCCAAATGATTGTCCTATATGTCTCGATCAATTGAAATTTGCCATGCTACTCTTGAAATTTGGGTTTCAACTTTTTTCGATAAGGGTAAAATTCATCGATTCCCTTCTAGAAAATTTGATATGCACGTGCAACATTTCGAAATTTATTGCTAAAACAGACATTACGTTGAGATGATAAACTTTGAAAACATGCTAGAGGTGATCATCATCTAGAGATTTTGTATGTCCATTTGGCCGAATTATACACTCCTACCAAGTTTTCAAGGTTACCCAATTGGGTGTTGAATTTGAAAGAAAAAGATATTTGTAGAAAATTTTATTGACAGAATGGCGTACTTACTCTCACAAAATTAGCGGACTTCATGTGAATTTAAAAAATATCGGCTTGTAGTCACCACTCCCATTTTGAATTGTGAGTAAGGGAGTTAAAGGCCCTTTGATTGATCAAATAATATATGGCTTTGATGGGCATTTGGATTGAGTTTTGATTCCTGAGGCCTTTTTTTTTTTCGCTCCAAAAGTCATTTAGTAAAACGACATTGTTCCCGGTTATTTAGGAAAAAAAAAAATACAAAAATGTAAATGTATAAGAATGTTTACATGTGTATAAATTATTTTTGTTTATGATAATTTTATGTGTAATGCTATTGATATTCAACGATTAAAATGGTTATCTTATGTGATAGTAAGTTATTTTATGTTTTTGCTTGTTATTTAAGGCAATAGGGTTACATGAAATTAATTCCTCAAATAACAACTATCACATAGGATGACCACTTGCAGTCACGGACTCTGAAAGCATTACTCTATTTTTGTTCGCAATTTTCGTGAAAAAACAAGCTAACGTTTTTGAGAATTTTAACTTTTTAGAGTAATACTTCAGGAGACATTTTTGATATTGCAAACCTCAACCCCATCCTCTTCCCGGGGCCAGTATCCATACCTCCGCTGGGCCCGTCGTATCCCGTCGATCAGACGACCCATCGTCCGGCCCATACCTTCTTGCAGTCAAGAATCCCAGTCCTGGGCTGCAGCTTACAAGGCCGAAGAGGCTCAACTCGTGGAACAATGCGAATTGGGTACTCCATTTCTGCATCCAAACCCCACTTGGTGGAAAGAGATTTTGGGCCTAGTTAAACAGGCCTTTAGGGTCTTCTTCTTTTTTCTTTTTTTATTATTATTATTTTTTTCCACCAGTATTGACCTTTTCGTGCGACATCGTTTATCATAAATTGAAAAAATAGGTACTTATTATTTTTCGGGCACTAACGTTAGGTGATTTAAAACTCATCCTAAATTGATGTAGTGTAATTTTGGTCGTATTTCTCAATTTGGTAAGTATTGATCGTTTCTCAAAATTTGTTCCAATGTTAACCGTTTTAAAAAAAATTATTTCAACTCACATATTTTGTTCAAACCTAATTTATAAATAAAAATACATTAATTAAAAGAATTTAATTATAAGCAAAAAAATATTTTAAAACTAAAATTTTTCTTAAAAGATAAAAACTCACTTTGAAAAAAATACTCCTAACACGAAAAAAATCACTAATAAATTTTCTAACAAGCAAAAACTAGTTGTAGATAAAAGAATGTGTTGTACACGTTAAAATGCATCTTGTTTACTGCTTCGGACAAAAACCTAAAGAGAGAACAATAAAGTCATAAGTACAGGAAAAATTTAACAGAATTTGTACCGATGCTCACATGGCACAATGTAAGTGGGTTGTTTTTTTTTTTTTTCAATGATGTCGTGCCATGTATTATCTTTAAAAATTTTCTGTCAAAAAAATGTGTACT